AAGCCAGTGCTGTCCCCTCCGCCTGGAAGGTTCTCCGTGGGGCCCCCCTACCCTGCTCTCCCAGCACCCGTGGTTATGCAATTACCTCCCTCAGTTGTGGCATCGCCTCTCTCTAAAATATCAACTTTCCTTCATAATTGAATGAGCATCTGGGACGTAAGGCTGGGGAGACAGACGTTGCTGCCGCCCCCCGGAGCTCACAGTGCAGGAAGGTCACAGGACGGGGCCCCCGTCCCATCCTATGACCCGGCTGTCGGCTTATTTCAGCTGGAAACACCCTCCTTTTCTGCCAGTGGACCATCTGCAACCCTCCAGCTCTGAGACCAGACACACTAACCAAAGAAGAAAGTGGCCAGAGACGGCAGGACAGAGTCCTTTTCTGGAAGAAAATTCTGGGCTCCCTGGTCATTAATGGCTCGAGTTCGGGGAGGCCCTGAGCTTTCCTGTCCTCGCCCAGGGATATTTCTCCCTTCTGCCGCCGTTTCCCGTTGTTTGTTTGTTGCGAACGTCTCCGTCAATACCAGGGTGAACTGACATTGTTTCCCCGACGCAGGAAGGTTTCTACAGTAACCCAGCAGGCTCCACGCGGGAAACCGCAACGCGTGCTGGCAGCTTGCCCGTCCCCGGGAGCCAGGATCCAAGTGCAAATCCCTTCCCACCTGCACACCCTACAGGCCTGACGGATGCTCCGGTGGAGGCTGCTGGGCCCTGGACCCGAGGGCCACCCGACGTCATGGGTGGGGCTGCTCTGACCCTCTAATATCCACCAGGAATGGTGACAGCCGCCCGGGTGATGAAGCCCAGTCCCCGTCTCTTCTTATTGAGAAGCACCCAGTTCTGCATGGGGACGGCTGTTTAAAGATACCGGCTACCAGCCAGTCCACCTTAGAAATGCCCCCCCCTCCTGGGGACTCGGCAGCTCCAGCGAGTCTCTACAGTCAGTTCATTTTGAAATGCATTTAGATGTATTGCTTTTGACATTAATTGCACCGAGTTGGTATTTGTCTCATTTCTGGCCTTGGAGATGGCCTGAGACTCTCAGGGAGCAAAACCGAGTTAACACACAAAAGCTCCGTGAACTGGGGCGAGAGCCGAGGCGTCTCGACACCCGGGACACAGAGCAGCGGGTGATTCACGGCCTCAAGTCCAAACACATCACCGTGATTTCTGAAAGAAGACAGCAGGCAGTTTCTGCAGCACGGCCCACCTCCGGGTCTGCGCTGACAGGCGTCTGGAAGCTCTGAGTCTCCAGTTAAGTGACGTGGAGACAGACCAGGCTTGTTGATGCCCTTGGATGAGCCACACTGGGGAGCCCTCTGGGCTCAGCCTAATTGCTCCGACCTTGGGAACGTCCCTGAGCTTGGACTGGAGGCTGGTTCCTTTGCTCAGCACCCAGGAGCCCTTGCTTTGGGCCATGTTAGCAGTTCCTCGGTGGAGCCTTGTCCCGTAAGTGTATCCATGAGGGCATTTCTCTGCTCTGTCTCTTCAAACTCATTCTTTGGTGTCTAAGGATTTCTCATTAGCAGGCACCTCCCTGCGCTTCCCAGCACCATGCGGGGGGATGAACCTGAACAGCATGGGGACCGCGCTTTCAGCCTGTCCCTAAAAATGTTTGGTCCCTTCTCCCTGCTGCCCCAGGATGCAAATGCCGTCCATCGCTCAGAATTTCTTGGTTTCTGCAACTAAGTTGGGGGGAGGGGCTCACCTGGGACTGTCTTTTCCTCCTAACGGTACAAAGTGCTCTGAGCGATAAGGGTACCAGCCAGGCCTGAAGCCAGGCTGTCCTTTAGAATCACAGGAGAGCTTTAAATAATTTCTATCCCCAGGCTGTTGGGCCAAAGGCTCTGCTTTAAGTGGCCGGACGGAGGCGAGGTTCCCTTCACTATAGGTAGCTTTCCAGTTTCCCCAGGTGATTCTAATACGCAGCCAAGACGGAGAATCAGAGACTCTGACTAGCAAAGGGTGGGGCTCCGTATTCGCAGTGACTCGGTTTCCCTGTCGGTAACAAAAGGATAACAAGTCCCTGCCCTCGGGGGG